GAATCGCTTTTAGTCACTGGTATAGGCCTAAGTCAGTCCCTTGATCTCCAAATTAATTTTTGAATTGAATGATTGTGTGGGGGTTTCTTGTCCTAATTGAGTCTTCAAGTGAAAAATGCTTAGCAAACAGATGGAAAACTGAGGACAAAAGGCTCTATTATGTAATAAAAAATGAGAGTTCACTACAACAGTTTGAAATTAGTACTTGGAGGTTCTATTTATTTTTTTCCTTCATAAAATCCCAAACAGTAAGTGATATGCAGTGTATTTGGCACAGCTTGGTGGAAAGCCATGAAAAAGGAAGAAGGTGGAAAATTTGTATGGGCAGCTCTCATAACAGTCAGCAGGAAGTGTCTGAGTAATTTATCGATCCACTCCTCATTTTCCTTTTATTGATATGGCAAAAGAAACGTTTTCTCCAGGAAGAAAAAGCTTTCAAGTGATAGCAGTGCACAGCTCAAAGGGAGATCACATATGTGTTTCTGAAAACCCCTCAATTTCCCCCGGAAATGCATTGGCTTGTTTCTGGTTCTGCAGGACTGTCAGGACACCCCGGCATTTTCTTGCTGTTCCACAGACATAGGGAAGTAACTCACTACAGGTCTGGCTGTAATCTAACAAGCTTTAAAGTTGTACTGAACAGGTCTATATGAGATCAGGGTCCTACTATAGGAAGCACTGCACATCTGTTGCACCCCAAAATTCGTATTTTCTGTAGCCAAATGAAGGGTGGTGGAGGATGAATACTCTGCAGGCAGCTGGGCTAGAGAACAGAGGTGCACCAGGGTTTGTGACTTACAGATAGGGCAGAGATGAGCACGTAGCCCCCACCTTTGGGACAGTAAATCAGCTTCTAATAAATTTACTTTGTGCAGCCAAGAAAATTTAGGTCTCAATCTCATCTCTCTTGTTCAAAATCTCCTCAAATTTCCTGGCATAACTTGTTGATTAATGATAGAAGGGTCTGGTCTAAGTTTGTCCATATATGTAAGAAGGAAGATGATTGGGACTTACCAAGCTTCACGGAAACCTGCATGGCATCGAGTCCTTCTGCTGGCCTTCATGATCTTGTCCTTCTCCTGTTGGGGTAAAGGGATAGCTCTTGTGTATGGAGGGGGAGCAGGAGGGCCTGGGATATAGACTCTTGAAGAGGACAAAAGTTGGGAGAAAAGTAACTACAAAGAGAGCGAGTAATTGCAACTTCTTTGCAGGGGTGAAGATGTGGCACTGGGTTCACTATAAGTAGGACCTGGCTTTGTTCAGGCAATTAAACTGGCAGAGGGTAGATTTAGATTAGATACAATTTTTCACTGTGAGGGTGGTGAGGCAGTGGCACAGGGTGCCCAGAGAAGCTGTGGCTGCCCCATCCCTGTCTGTGTTCAAGGCCAGGTTGGATGGGGCTTTGAGCAGCATGGTCTAGTGAAAGGTGTCCCTGCCCAGATGACCTTTAAGGTTCCTTCCAAACCAAACCATGCTGTGATTCTAATTAGTGAAAATGGGGCATGAGCTGTATGGGAGACACCTGTTGGGTCTAACTCTTCAGTGGGGTATTTCCCTGGGCCAGGGGTTATACCGATACTAGTGGTTGGTCCACACTGCACTATGTCCACACAGTAGGAGGACCACGAGGATAGGATGCTTCCTGCAGCAACTGTTCCTTTTCCCAGCAGGGCTGAGCAAGCAGATGCCCAGTGGTTTTGCAGCTCTTGCATTAACAGCCAGCACTCAGCAGAGTCAGTTAACCACAAAACCAGCTCTGCTCCCTTTCTGCCAGCACACCTCACAAGCCTCCAAATCAGAACTAGTAAATCAACTTTCCTTCATTTTCATGATTTTCCTGAATGAGAAATTTGGGGAAGGCTTGTTCTCATTTTGCATGAAATAACAGCACAGGAGCTGGGGAGGAATGGGTCTAGCTTTTCAGTAGAGCTCAGATTCTGTAATGTCTGCAATTATTTCTTGCCATCACAGTGTAAAACTCTTTTCCCTTTCACTTCATATTATTTCTTTCTGCAGAATGCTTTCAGTGCAGATAATGCACATGAAGGTACAATACAGCCAGTTGTCTGAGAAGAGAAACCCATTTTCCTCTAGTGGGTGGTAGGTAAGAATTACTAATCCAATATGCTTGAGTTAACGCAAAACAAGGATTAGGGTAAAGTTCCTGAATATGTTAATCTTCCTTTATAGAAGTAAACTTTAGCACTGCTATCAACCCCGTGGTTTATAGTTCATGGGAACAATGAACCAATTAAACTTGAGCAGAAAAAATCTTGCACAAGTTTTCTGATTGTTACCTAATACTTTGAATTCTTTTGATACTTAATTATTTGCCACTGTGTCATAGGCAGAGGAAATAAAACACTGTTTATTATTCATTAGACTTTTCTAAACATGTTCATAATTAACTGCATTTTATTGTAGTTGTTTCTTTCTTCCTTCTCTGTGAAAGTAGCTATTAAATGACATGTAAGGGCCTGGATAACTGATATAATTTTTAGCAGCACAAACTGAGGGCTTACTGGAATGGTTGTGCCTATCAGAGTCAGCTAGTTGTGAAAAAAAAGTAGGCTGTGTGAAGAAAAGGAAAGGGTCATTCAGAAGTATTTCTCTTAGGTAATGGAAAAGAAAGATAACTTTATTTAATTTTTATACATTAACTGCATAATGTCCTCTGGCTTTACAAAAGCAAGCCCATTCAGACAAGCCTTAAACACTACTTTAGCTCTGTTGATATCCAAAATATTCTTACTTGTTCCTGGATCATATTCACTGTTCTTATTCACAGTCATGCACACAACTTGGAAAATTTTACTGTGTATTCTGGATTTTCTTCTGCCTTTCAAATTTCTGATTGAGGAACAGAGGAAAAGGAGGATAATCGGGCTTATAGTATGATATAAAAATGTCAAGGATTTACTGGCTAAAGGATCTATTCTGCTGTCAATACATGCATGTGAATCTTAGGCATATTGATTAAAAAAAAGTAGGCCTAAAGCAAATGTTACACTACAGGATATCAACATCTTCGGTGCTGGTGGGTCAGAAAAGCCAGATTGATTTTAGGGTAATAACATACATGTTATACCTAACCATCCTTTGACCCCCACAATTAGTTAAAAATGCAGCAGGCAGGCAGGGTTGTGTTTGCAGTATCAGTATATACCTGTGCTTGTTATCGATTGAATTCCAGGAAACACTGTATCTGGGAGATTATGATGTCACCACCACTTCTAAAAGCCTCAGTGATTATTGAGGATTTAATTGTACATGAAAATAAAGGGAAGTAACTCTCTACCAAATACATTTTTGTGTAAAATTTCACAGCCAAAGTTCCTATGCAATGTGGTTTATAGAAAAAAGACTTGGGCGGAAGCATGTTGGACACAGGACACAATGGATATTGCAAACCAAGCTACAGTTCAGTTTATTAAGTCACATTTGTAATGTTCTTCGTTAACAGACTTGCAGTTTAGGGAATGTAACAGTTCAGTGGGCAGAGGACTCTCATCTATAGCAGAGCACTTGCGAGGCTCATCTTACCTAGTAAAAATTCAGTCAACTTTTACATCCCCTTGGTGTAAAGTGAGTTTTTGTACCAGCCACAACTGACCCCTTCATGCTGGAGTTAAACTTGTCAGCAGGAAGCAAGGACTCCTCTGAGGCAGTGACACCATGTTTTGCTTTCAGTCCTTTTTATTTGATTCCCTTGCTTTCTGCTTTTCACCTGAGACGAGCACACAGCTCAGCCATCGCCCTCATCAGGAACTCCATGTCTTGACCCTCAGGTTCATCCCTGTGCTGCACACTGCCAAGCAAAAACCTATGGAAAAGTGTGAGTGAGGCTGGGGGATTGTGTTTCTTTTTTTTTTGTTTTTTTTTTTTTTAACCAGCATCAGTGGCGTCAGTCTGACATAAGAAACTGCAATGCTTGTGCATCATCACCTCCCAGCACAGGTAATAGGGAATTCCTTGTCTCTATTTAGTTAGAAACAGAGCGTACATAAGTCTCAGGCACAGCCAGGACATCTCTCTCAGCTTTGAGTGCACTTGGCATTTTCTGAGAGCTCAGAGCAGCACTTGGCTGCAGGGCGGCAGGTTAAGTGCAGTCTGTCTGCAGGCCAGAGACGCAGAGGTGTAAACTGGGAGCTCTCCCAAGATGCTGTGTTACATCTTCTGGAGAGCTGCCTCGCTCCGTCGGGCTCCGCCACGCCGGGGCCCCATCCCGTGAGCTCTGGAGCAGCCCCGCGGCCACTCAGAGCCAGTGGGAACAGATGGCACTCAGCACTTGGCAGCATTAGACCCCAGATCGCAGGTCCTGGTTGATTGTTGTTTTGGTTTTGTTGTTGTTTGTTTTGTTTTGTTTTGTTTTTGTCTAACCATCAGAAATCCCTTTCAGTTTCTGAGTGGTGAGGAAGCAATAAAAACAAGGTGGAGCGAGATGCACAAAGCAAAGCCAGCTGCTTTAATAAATCTGCAAAAGTAGCAAGTCCTCTTTGCAAGTGCCCTGGTGCACAACAGAAATAGCCTAAGTTTGAGGCTGGGGTACGTTTCAAGTTTGTATCCCTGCTGTGGCATATAGTGAACAGACAAAAAACCCTTTCTGTAACCTCCGATGGCTGTGACATTTGTTGGTGTCTGTGGATCTTATTCACAGCGCTTTGTGAAACACTAGTAGTAATGTAACTGTATTGTGGCAGGAGACTGAAGAGGGCAGCGGATCATTCACTTGAAAACGTGACCTTTTAATTTAAACAAAAGACTTGAAAAAATGAAAGTGAGTCTTAAATGCAGTTTAATCAGTCAGGCGAAAGATGTCTAATGAAGCTGCCAGACAGATTTGTAGCCAGACTGTCACTTTACCCATCATGTTTACAGCCTCCAGTGGTGAGATTAGGACTGGGTGAAGGCACAGTCTATCCAGATTTCCCTGGTCTGATCCTCTACCATGTCTGTTAAGTTTTGACAATTTGACAAATTATTTTGCTGATTGTCTCTAGATCTGGAGGAGCTGAGTGTAGCTCCCACATCTTTGATCGCCGCTGAGCATTGTCTGACGCAGGGATGAGAGACCTAAAAGGATGCTGCAATGCTACAAAATCAAGGTAAACCCTTTCAGACTTTCTGCTTTATGCCATTTTCCTCCTAAGCAACCAGCATTAAACCCCTGCCTCTCAAGTAAGGACAGCTGAAAAATTTCAGAGCAATTTTTTTAGCAGTGAATCCTATGGCTGTGATTTTACCAGACATTCAATTTCTTACTCAAAGCCACTGGGATGCTGCAGTTATGAATAAGGCAGTTGTGAAAACCTCTAAGAAGTTGTCCTTATATCAGAAGAGACGTACATCAAGAAAGGACCAGCTTTAACAGCAAGCAAGTTAGAAACCTTCCCCAGAGTTCAAATTACTATCTTTGAGACCATCAAGGCAGAGATCATGCATTTCATGGTTCTATTTTGCATTTCTTTACAATGCCTATTCATTTTGCAGGGAATATTTGCTACTGAATAACTTTTAAATGCCTGCTGTAGAAAGTAATGTCTCTGTTTATCCACAGGCTAAGCAGGGCTCAGACACACAGCATCTCAGCTCCCCACACAGCCATGTCAGTGAACTTAGGCTGGAAGGGGAGGAATTACCTCTCTGGAAGATGAGAGGGAATTCATTCTCCATGCTAGCTCTTTCCTGGGGGGCTTTGCCAAGAGAAAAAAAAAAAAAACACTCATTGCTTTCTGTCTTTTCACCTTTCTTTTTTTTTTTAAGAACATCAAAGTTATCACTCCTGCTTTCTCACTATAATCCCAGAAATACTAATGGATGTCTCCTAGTCCTTTCATGCTAAAAGCACAAGTGTGTGTTTTGCAGCATTTAGGAGGGTGCAGGCTGTTTCTGCATTTGTATGCTCGGTGTGTCACTAAAAGAGCCAAAGCAGGAAAAGTAGTTCAAACTCAAACATTTATTTTTTCTTTGACTTGGGTACTTTAAAGCCTATTATTATTTTTAAAGTAATTTATATGACATGATGTCTAATGTGCAACAAGACAACTGGACAAAAATTGTGTTTGTTTGTTTTTTTACCTCCCTTTTCCCAAAATATTTTTTCAAAGTTTCATGCTTAGCAAAAAACCCCTCTGTAATTGTCTTGTCATGATTATAGTTTTTCCCATTCACTGCCACTTTACATGGAAGCCCCAGGAAAAGAATTCTTAAAAACAAAATTTCATGCTTGCATGTGTTTCTGTGATCTGCAGTGTGTATGATCTCTGAGTGGAAAAACTTCTCTAGAATTAAATGGATTACCCTTGCTCAGAAGACATCTGATGTCTCTTGAGCAGATACCGCTGCTTGCCTGTGATCTCTCGCCCACCGCAATCGGGGTGACAGGCGTTGAAGAGAGGGCCTGGTGGTGGCAGCCTCCCCCACTCTCCCCCCCATTTTGGCATGGGCTGGGGGAGCAGGGCAATCTTATTTGGGTCCACATGCTGAGGTATCTCTTGCTGGTGGAAGACAAAGGACCTTTTGCAACCAGTGCAGGAAATAACTTTGTTACTTGGTTCCTGCAGCTTTCCACCTCAAAGACCATTTTCAGGCTTATTTTCATTGCAGACCTTCTCCATACAGAGTTTTTTGCAAGGTGTTTGGTTGGGTTGAGGGGACCGTTTTGGACAATGCATGTAATGATGCAGCATGGGGTACACCTGTCTGACAGTACGCAGAGCATCATCCAAAACCTCCCTGGCAGTGGGAAAAGCTCCCTTGGAGATTGAGGGCTGGGGCCTGTCCTCTTGGGTTATAAGACCGTTTTTTCTCAGCAGCATCCAGTCCTGGACTGGGGCCTGCAGGTGGTATTGTAGCGCAAGAAATAAATACTGAGAGTCCAGGAATCCATCCAGTGTAAGCTTTCGAGATTTTTTCTTCTTGTCTTACAGCCCCATCTTACAAGCCTTCTTCCTACATGAACATGCTTCTTTTTAGGCTTTTCTAGGATTGGAACTGCGGATGCAGTGAGAGCCACAGCAAACAGTCTACTCTTTCCCTTCTGCCTACTGATTTCACAGCAGGCTTTTCTGCCTTGAAGTAGAAATGACTTTGTGAGTCCTTGTCCTGTGATGCCACTCAGCAGTGGCACCTGCCAGCAAAGCCAGTGGTGCCCACAAGAAGAAACAGTATGTCCCTCTTTGGCATGGCTGTATCAAGCCCTGACCCACATAAGTAACAGTCCCTGAAGCGCTACCTTGAAAAGGGATTAGGTAGAAATCAGTAGAAAAACTACGGAGCAGATGATAGCAATAACACATTAGCAGGAACAGTAAGGCTGGTCTGGTGACTGAACACCAGACTTGGACTCAGGAGATCAAGGTTTAATCTTCCGTTCTTCCACAGATGTTGGCAAGTCACTTAATCTCTCTGTGCCTCAGTTCCCCATCTGGAGAAGGAAGATAATGGTAGCTTTTTTGTCTGCACTGTGTGTTTAGGTTTCTGAGTTTTCCAGATCCAGGATGATTCTTCAGGTGGGTATATACTGCACCTGCTTCTGCAGGGGAAATCACACTGCCTCCTTCCATACTACAAATGATAATTAAGAATAGCAATATCAGTCCTTTAATCATCAGGAAACTCATGCTGTTTTTCAACAAAATTTACAATTAATGCATGATCAGAACTTCAATTGAAGTTGAATAAATACTTTGTGTAACATAATGGGCATTTCAAGGAAACTTCTTTGTGGAATCTTGGGACAATCTACTTGTAAAGTGTATCTTTAGATGCCCACAGCAGTCATCCCTATCCTATAATACTTGAGAGCCATTTTCAAGCTAGGTGGCATGGCAGAAGTTGTAGTGAGGTAATTTCAACTGGTAAAAAACGCTGACAACAGCATTACCATGGTGCTTCCCAACCTGCTGTGGATTCAGCAGAGACTGGACCAACTCCTGCTGTGGAAATCTGCAGTTCCCCTACTTGGGAACATCCTGGTTCCCCATGGCCTGAAAAGCATGGGCTGAATTATGTTGCTAGTACCCTGGGGACTTTCCACAGTCAAAATCACCCAGCCTGCTTTTCAGAAGAAAATTGCACAAAGTAACTATTTCTAGAACTTTTCCTTCACTGCTGTACTCTGACACAAAAGAATAATATTTTGAAGACTGTTCACTCTGCTTTCCAGTGGGAGAGAATTGGTATCTGTCCTGATTATACTTAGCATCTACTGGAGTCTTCACTGAGGTTAAAAGGAAGTTTCAGCAGGTAGGATTATCCCCAACAAGTATTATATTCTGCCAAATTGTGTTTGGATTTTGCTAGACTTATTTACTTGTCCACAACACCCAGGGAAGCACAGACTTTTTTCCTGTAAAGAATTTGGCTGTGTTTGAAGACATGGGAGCTGTGTTTTCACGATGAATCAGACTCAGATTGACTTTGGGATTTGACATAACATTGATTTACTGACTAACCTTGCTCTTCTGCTGGACATGCTGTGGCTATTGTGAGCAATGCTGAGCTATTACAGGGCTGCAGGAATGCTTTCTGGTGGCATGTTTGGTTTAGGACATTTCAGATGAAGCTTTTGGGATTAACTAGTTTATGGCTCCTGCCTTGTCTCCAAAGCTGAGGGATGTGCTAAACTGGGGGGGGGGCCCCTTTCCTCCCGCTCTCCATCTAAGGTCTTATTCTGTCATCTCCTCCAAAAGCATGAACCACAGTGAAAATATGCAGGCCAGATTGCAATGCCTTTACTAATGCTTCTACAGATAAACCCATTTCCTTCATCTGTCTCTTATATTTGCCAGTGCAGGTCTCCTGTGCTTCTCTCTTGTGCATGCCTCTTTTTCAACTCTTCCTGTCTTGCTGATCAGTCTGCACCACACTTTTATTTGAAGTATAAATGTTAGTGAGCTCTGGGCCTCTCAATCCATATTTCTTTTGTTTCTGTGACTGATACAGATCTTCTGTGCTTGTTTTATGTATCAACAGTAGGTGAGTCTCTCATATATTTAAGGATGATGTGACTGGAGAACCAATGATAAGCATCTACCCCAGCTGCATTTTATACTTGCAGATCCTCTTTCATCGAACAGGTAAGGGTCCCAAGGACTCTACAGACACAGTATATTCCTAATGAAGAGGAAAGAGTGGAGTAAGTGGAGACATTGTCTTTGCAGTGATTGTGTGTCATTACAATGGAGTAAATGCTCTGAAATGAATATTTTGTGTGCATGTGATAAGCCTTGGCTGGTCCTGATTATATGCACATTGAAAAAGATCGCAAGAATATTATGGATATTTTTCTCTTTGTTTTTAAATTTCAAGTATCACTTTTTTCTTTTTCTTTTTTTTTTTTCTGTGTAATTGGACTGAAATGTGTGTGGAAAAAGGGTCTTGGTTTACCAGTTGGTTGGAAATTATGGAGAAATGAAAAAAATTGTCTTTGTTCCCCAGTTCTGGTAAAAATGCTGTCCGATTTCTTTCAGCAGAACCTCTGTCATGCCCCCTGCCCACAATAGTCTGTGTTCTTGGCACCCTCCTTGTCCCATGGGGTACTATTTTTGGCATGCTCCAGCTCTCTTGTGGTACTATTTTCTTGAATCTGAATCAAGAGAACTGAGGGGTTGTGGGGTTGCCAGGTGAAGATAAATCATGGAAACATTTATACTGCTCCCACTGAAAGTTTTCCATGGAGGAGTGGGATTTCTAACAGCAGCGATTTATAGTGCTTTACTGCACAAAGGGTTTTAAAACATCAGATCTATTAGATCTAGACAATATAGGCCAAGTCATTGTGAGAGATGAAAATTCTAGCTAGATCTTAAATCTTCCCTGTCAGTGACAGATGCCAAAGCCTTTCTGGCAATAAAAAATATACAATTATTTTGTCAAAGCTCACTTTATAAATACCTTTTGCTGGAATGATGATGCTTTGCATGAAATAACACTGCAGAAAACTGACAGTGAGGATGGAAAACACTGACCTACTTTTATCCAGAACAAAAGCAGGATTTATTTTTTTGTACAGTTCTTACTCTTTTTCATTTCCCTGCCCCCCTCCACCCTCTCACCCCCACCCCTGTAAGAAAAGTGTTCGGTAAATGCTAGTACTTACAGACTGTAGAATCTGATGAAGGGAAGAAAAGCCAAGCACCTTCATGGTCAAATGTCCACAAGAAACCTTAATAATCTCTCTAGAGCTTTTTGGCAAGTCACTGGTGCCCCATGTGAAGTGTCTGGGTCCTGGTGCTTTTAATTGTTATAAGAGTCTCATCAGCCTTCAGCCCTCAAAACACCTTCATCTTCTGCTCTGAATTCAGGCAGATGTGGATTTTTAGGCAAGAAAGATTAGAAAAATATTATTTGAGGAATCCCCTTTGACTGAGATGAACATGTGGGCTCTGATTTGACAAGTCACATTCATCTCTGCGTACACATGCATACATGTGTATGTCCCTAGATTGCTCTTAAACCAGAGCACAAGCTGGATGGGGACCCTGGCCACCAAGCGGGGGATCTTTGTACTGATTCTGCTGCAGGTCTGGTGAGCTCCTTCTGATTCCTGACTTCAGAAGACTGCAATCTCCTTATCTTTGGGTAAAAGTCATTATCTTTCTCTGGACAAATGTCTCAGTAGGTGCAAGAAATCATGTTCAAATTTATGATAAGGAAAGGCAAATCAATGGAACAGAAGTCCAGCAGAGTTATAGTCCTCCAAGATACAACTTCTGGACGTGCCAAGGGAAACACAGAGGTGTGCTTGCTCTTTTCCTTTTTCTATTAGACATCTGCTGCTAGACATGTGAGCAAGGGGATGCTGAGCTAAGTGTGCCTTTGACCTGCCCCATTTGGTCACTCATTTGTCTCTTTATTTGAAGGAGATTTTGGGCTCTTTCAGGAAAAGGTGTTGTTTCATCTGCTCATCCCTCACTGCAGCTTCTGCCTTGCCGCCCGACTCCAAAATGCTTTTATACTTCAGTTATACATCATGTAACTAAGAGGAAGATCTGACATCAGCCCCAGCACTGACAGTATCAATAGTGGGCACTGACAGTCTAAATGCGTGAAGGGTATTGATATAGCTCCAGTGGTGTCAAGATGAGATAGAGTTATTTTGGGAGGGTAGCTACTCAGAAGTCATTCTTCCAGAAAAATTCATAAGTGACAGAAAAGAGACAGAAGAAAAACCAAAGCTTTCCTTCTTAAATTTAGCAAAGATATATTTAAATACACTGTATGCAGTGGAGGAGCAGTGTAACAGTACTTAAGTTCTCCTTTTTTTTAAGGCCCTTAGAGTTTCACAAGTATTTGGGCTCTATCGTGTTTGTATTCTTTCTTGTAATTTTTTGATACTTATCTTCCAGAGAATTCCAGGTCATTAAAATTCACTCTCTCCTTTTTAATCTCTCGCCTAGTTGTCAGCCTCAAGTGTGAGTTCCTCCCTGGAATGCTGTTCCTTTATTGCTTATTGTCAAAAATGTTTTCACTTGGCATTTTCCCGGCTGGTGACATAGTAAGGTATTGCTGTGGGTCAAAGTTTGCATATCCAGCCATCAGTTTTCATCATTGTGTTTGTCATGAGCTAAGGACATTTTTATTAGATGAAACAATAAGAGGGTAAAATGCATTAAAATTCAGCCTGCCTGTTTCAAGCTGTAAATGAATACAGCTTTTAGTAAAACAATGATTTGAAGTATCCAGAAGGATAGACTATTGATATTTGCTACCACTGTTTTTCTCTGTTATTACATTAGATTCATAGGACAGGAGAGAGGGTTTTTTTAAGTAATATTAAGGGTTTTTATACTTTCCTAAGACTTGTTTGCTACTTCCAGAGATCTGAAACTATAGAGAGGCTTGTAGTATGTTGAGATCTATATAAACATAGTAAAAAAACTCTGAACAGCAGGGTCTATAATTATTGCTAATTTCTCCAGAGTTTTATATTATTAGAATTTTGGGGGAAAATTGTTTGCTTTCCTCAAGAATGCACTGAGAGATTTTATCTTTTGTTGTGTTTTTGTTGTTTTTTTTTTTTTAGAAAAGTATATCCCTTGTGTTCTAGATTTTTAGCTGCCAGAAGGTCTAGAGCAAACTTTCACTTGAAGATGGTTTTTAGATTAAATGTTAGAGGGCTCTTAAGCAGTCAGTGCAAACAGCTGTGTTTTATTCAGGAAAAAAATAGATTTTCTTGTATAAGGAAACAGTAACTTCAACCTCCAACCTACTGCACAGAGTTAACTGCTCTTCACACAAAAGTTGCCTTTTTTGTTCCCACCTCAGGGACTTCTGTTGCAAATTCAAAGGCACCAAGGGGTGAAGAATGCTCATGAAGATGAGGTTAAATATGAAAAATCCCACAACTGAAGCAATTTTCCCCTTACTGCTCCATGGCAGTGCAGGCATGCCAAACTGGGGTCTGCAGGATGTGTGCACAGTGGTATGCCATTGCAGTGGGTGGCTGTGAGAGATATCACATGGCTCTGCCCTATCTAGATAGGAATTATGTGGGAACATTGTGTAGGGTTCCTGTGATGGTGGAGAGCAGTATCCATCTCCAGCGACAGCCACTGCCTGTGTGGACTCCCACATTAAGACTCCAGCCTGTGACAGGCAGCCCCATCTTCTGTGGTGCATTTGAACCACATTTAGCACCACTACAAAAAGGCTCAGGCTGTGGTGAGCATCTTCTCAAGTACCCTCCAGCAGAAGAGTTAAGAACATGTTTAGCATTGAGAAACTAAACACCCCTGGCTGCTTCTGTTGCTCTGCTGCTGACTACATGAGACCAGCTTGCCACAGCAATCAGCCTAGAGAAAAGAAATGCAGTGTTACAAACCATTTCAGGTGGTGAAGTTGTTCCTTTAAATGGGACACAAATCATTCAAACAGTACCTTCGGCAAAGATAGAAACCAAAGACAGAAACACGCATCAGCAAGGTGTGGAGGAGACAGTCTCTGGCATCTCTAGCTCAGCCCCATCATGGTCAATGCTCTTTACATGCTGAGCAAGAAGATAGCAAAGTTGAATTGCAGACCACATAAGGGAGAAAGGGCCTTTTACTAAATTGCTGGAGCAGTGGACACTGCATCAAAGGTACAAAGGCTGAGAAAGCCTCGTGTGTCACTATTTCATTATGCTAGTTCTCTTCACAGTGAAATCAAAATGCGAATACATCTGAAAAAGTAGATAGTCTAATGAGTAAGTCATTTGGTAAATAAGAACAATTAAAAATCAAAAGCAGTGCACATCTGAAAAGGCAGATAATATGGTGGGTAAGAAATCTGGTAAATATGAGCAAAGAATAATGTTCTAAACCTCAACCTAACCTGTCAACACTTACACTCTTACCCACAGCAGGTTTATACCTTTTTTTAAATATGGCTAGATTTTTGTTCTTTACAAGAAGTATTTTGTTGCCCTCTAATCAGGCATTTAACTTCACTTTTGGAAATGCAGTAGGATTTATTTATTTATATATTTTTATTTAGAACTCATGAAAGAGAAAGTTGTGATGGAAATGTTTTATGGTCTTACCTGTCAGGAGTGTTATTAGGACAAATTTTGCATCAATCCAAGGATCAGAGTCCTGCTCACAGAGCTTGCAGTTTAAATAGACAAATGGATTTGACTCTGAGGAGGGGGGAGCAGAGTGGGACAACCAGCATGCTTGGGACCATATCAAAGGTCTAAGGTGAATCAAGAAGGGAACCCGTGGATCCCATAGCAATGGATGGCAAAATGTTTAAGTAGATATGTTCGTGGGGCCCTGAGGATATATAGAAAATGCTGAAGCATGTCTTGCCTAACACATAATCTGCCTTTCTGAGGTAGACAGCTTCCCAACAGCTTCAGATTAAGCCAAGAACAGATCTAGTCCCTAAATCATTTTTGGCCCAGGGTTTAGAGCTCTGGACAAACGGGTCCATCTCACGAGGCATTCACAGAGCCATGTGCACCCGTTTGCTTTCATGGAATCAGCACTTTAAGGGTAAGTGAACCTTAGATCTGACATACTGAACACCCCAGAGCAGATCACCCTATTAATTTAAAGGTGGTGTAAAGTTCAACATTTTATGATGTTAAAATGTCCTGTCCATTCTTGATTTGAAGGCCTTAAATGCTACACAGTTCCACATTTTGCTGGATGTTTGTCACTAGAATTAATCACTTTCAATATTATAAATGTTTACCTTATTTCTGGAATTTCTATGGCTGAGTTTTC